GCCCCCGGTCACCCGCACCCCGCCATAGCCGCAGGAGGTTTGTGGCAACCTCTCCAGAAGGCGAACGAGCAACTCAATTCGCCCCTTCGCCCGCTGCGGCGTTGCTGCGTGCGGCCAGTGGAACGTTTTGAAGTAGTCGAAGGGCACCGGCACGGTGTAGGCGCCGCGGTTATGGCCTGCTGGCGTTCGACTCCCCGCATCAACCCAAGACAACTCGCTAAAAGATAAAATAAGCCGTGAGGCGATTACGTGGCACAGGCTGTCAGTTCTGTTGTGCTGTGCTTATGCTTCTAGCACGTATCAAGGAGTAGCCAGGGCGTCCGCCCCGGCAGAAGGCGGCACGCCTGGGGGGTGATCTCTGCACGCCAGCCAAACCAAGCCTTGGCCCAAAGCACGGTTGCGCGATCGGCCGTGCTTGCTGGGCTATCGGATTGCCAAAAACCCGTTACCGTGGCAGAAGAGAAAGCAAGTCCCCTTTACTCTCAGACCCTTGAAACAAAGAGCAGCCTGGAACGAGACAGAGATTTTTTGCCGTTTTAGTTTTACGGGCTGTATGTATGTGCGTATGGCATATGTGAGAAAGCAAAAAGCAATCTTGGTGCTTAAAATAAAATATTGGAAGAAACTTGGGCCTTTCTAAGTGAGTGGGAGGGAGTCAAGTGACAACCGTAGGCTCTGACTGACACTTGGTACTTGGCCATTAGATCTGAATGCCTGGTGTGGGAAAGACTGGTACGTGCAAAGAGCTAGATGTTACCTGAAATGACGACGCCTGATCCGTTCCTGGCTCGCTCACATCAGCCAGCCTCCCTGCCGTTGTCTCTCTAGACTTCTCTCTGCTGTGAAAAACAGTGCCTTACCTCAGGAAAAATATCAAAAGATACGTTAAGAAACCACTCAAGGAAGGTGAACTCTCTAGCTCTGCCACAAGGTAAACTGGCTACAGTGTCAGGCTTTTCCGGGATGAATTTCTGGTCATCGCTGCCTTTTTACTTCATGTTATCTTACACGCATTAGTTAATCTAAATTAAAAAATTATTGTATTGTTGAGGACAAGCTCTCTAACCAGACACCAACATTAGACCCATTCTAATTAGCATTTTTACACAAGAGGACAAAGTAAGGCCTTCCCTTAAAGCACCTAATAAGTAAATTGTTGAGTTTACCTTAAAACAAGCAATTCCATGGGCATTGGAGGTAACACAATCTGAATTGGTATTTTGTCCCCTGGTCCCCCATTTCCCTCTGTACTCCCAGCTTCCTCATTTGGCCCCCGTGACATGCATCTCTGGCTAGTGACATGCATCTCTGGCTAGTCTGGAGCTACGCCTGTGCTGGCTGGCCTGTGGGCACGCTCGCTCAAGCCAAGTCACAAGTGCCCTTCCCTCGGTGTAAGTACCAGTGTCAGCCTCTCTGCCCTATCTCGCCACTGGCTTTGCTTTCTTTTTAATAATAATATTTAATACTATTTAATAATAATAATAATCTTACATATATCAGGAGACTGACAAAGCAATTATATAAAGTTTGTTTCTTTAGAGAACTAGACGAAAGGTTTTTAAATGTTGGGTCGCATCTGGTTTATCTCTCTCATGAAAGATCAGTGAGGTTATTGAGAGCAGGGTTTGATTCAAAGCACCCAAACATAAGCAGAGTACTGTTCTAATTTGTAATCTTTATTTTGAACTTCACAGTTTTAAAACATTCTCTCCAAAAAGTAGAAAATGCTAAATAAAAATACAAAAATTACCTAGTCAAGATAAAAATGTCTAAAAATGTAATTTGAAAGTAACTTGTTCGTCTACAGTACATGAGAGTCCATCAAGTTCTTAGGCTGTTCCTGCTGCCACTGCCTTTTTCATCTATTTATGTCAATTTTATAACTGAGTTTATTCCAATTCTGTTCCATTTCGCACTATTAAATTCTGCCGCATAGACACTCGCTTTGAAAGAAACTAAAGAAGAGTATATTAATCTCATGTGAAAGGACAGCTTTGATTTTCACAATATATAGGAAAAGGATTCTTTGAACAATTCACAAGCTTATTTCTTCAATCTTTGTCTGCTGAAAGTTCAACTGAAAAATGAAGACCCTAAAGGAACCAAATTCTATTAAGATCAATAAAACTGAACTGTGCAGACTTCACCCCAATGTTCTCCCAAAATATCTTAAATGGTTCCCAAAAGAGAAAAATGCAGCCAGGCAGTCGGTGACCTTGCACAAATCTTCATCCCAGCTGCCCACGTGGTTTTCGGCTGTGCATTTACATCACTTTTCTGCCTATTCTTTGGCATCCCCAATCCCTCCAGCAGTTATTGCAAATGTGGCTTCGTTTTCAGGCATCTCAGGGCTGGGGAGAAAAAAAAAAAGAAACAAGGAACTTGTGGGTTTCCCCATGTTCAATGCAGTTGGGAAACCGTCCCCAAAATGTTCTAAGCGTAAGCGACCTGGAATACTTCAACATCTTTATACCTTTGTGCAAACTGTAGAACATGGTCAGTGTTATCAAGATCAGGAAATGTGAAATCCACCTCTTGGAAGATGACAAACACAAAGGAGGGGAATGGAGAAGGTGCAGGAGAGGGAAGGATTCTGGCTCTGCAGACTCTCATTTCAATTTCTTAGTTCCTGACCAGAAACAGTGGGCTCCTCATGCAGTTCCACTAGTATGATTTTTAACCACTTGCGTCTGCCACTGCTTACCAGGTAAAGTGATATTAATTGTGTCAGCGACACTTAGTAATTTGACAGCTCTGGAATTTTCCTGCCAAGGGACCACCAGTGTTACCAAACTATTTGATGGTCTTCTTTAAGAGATGAGCATCTAGGAGGATTTATGATGAAAGATTACGTAATTTAATGTATGCGATATGCAAGACAACTTTAAGTCTGTTCATTAGTTTGTCCTTTCAGATTTTCTCTCAACTTACCATCCAGAAACGTGGTTAGTTTGAAACCATGAATCCTTTGTCAAGTTGTTAGGTTTCAGTACTGTGAACTTTGTCACCTTACGGTTGCTCATAAAACAGCTTCCTTCCTGTGAAGGAAAGGCAATTTACCTGTCGTATATCTTTGCAATACGCAGCTCCCCTCTCCCTTTCCTCAAGCTAATCCTGGTAGTCGAAGCATGAGCAAGGATGTGGCCCCCAATGGGCTTTTTTGGGTCCACCTGAAAGCTAAATGAGCAAGAAAATTGTGACGAGTCACTGTGCAAATTCCATAGCTTAATACTGTGATTAACTGTCAGATGAGGCATATTGATCTCAGTAATGAATAATAAATAGCTAAATATATCAAAAAAGGACTTTAATACACTTGCCTCAAGATAGGATGTTCGAATGTTCGATGCTGGCATAATTTTCCTCTCATTAAATTCAACAGGCTCAAGAAATACACACCTTAAATTTCATATGTAAGCTGCTCGAAAACAAAATGGGGTGCTTTTTGAATACTTTTTATGGCTTGTTCCCTTTGTTCAAGTCACAGTGAAAGAAGCCATCATGCCAGGCAGCAGGTAAACATAAAAAAACTCATTACAAAAGCCGAGAGAAACCTATCGGCGTCATCCATGAATGATTCATCATACCAGAGGGACCAATGACCAACCTGAACCTTCATTTAGGTGCCTCTTGCTCCATACAATCTCAGTTCTTATCTCTGTTAAATACGTAATACAAAAGAGAATAATTTTTTTTTTTTAAAGAGAGAGAAACAGTATCTTACGTCATAGTTGCTCCTGGATCAGCAGTCATCTGGTTGGTCACAAACACGGCCACATTATATTCTGCAATAGAAAACAATGCAAAGAAGGTGGACTATATCCAATGAGAATTCCAGAGTATTCTCCCATCCATGCTAAAAGCAAGGCTGCTGCTGAAGCACTTCAAATTTCAAGTGAAAGAGAAGCAAATAGTCTTTATGTCTGGTGGCTGGAGTTAATCAGGAGACAGCCTAAATTTGCTCCTCTGTGACTTCAACTGTAATACTTATGCCAAAACATCAGCACTTTTCAGAATTCCACTGAACAAGTCTTTCTCAGTTCCCATCTTCTCTGTTGGCTCCCTGCCCTCAGCCCCCTCTCCCTCCCTTTGTCTGTACTCTTTTTTTTTTTTTTTTTTTTTAACTGCATGAAAAAACATTTACTCATTCCTCATCAACATTTCTGAGACATTCCAAAGAGGAGGGACCCTATTCATCCTGTCATCATCTCTCAGAGCATTGCAAAGTACTGGGAACATGGCAACGGGCATGGCTTTTTTTCTCTCTCTGTGCCTTCATCCTTTTTTCTGTTCTTCATGTTTCTCATGCATTTAGACTGTCAAAATTTGGGGAAGACAATTTCTCCTACTGGATGTTTGTCCAGTTCTACAACCTATTCTCTCATTTAGGACTGCTCTTAACAATATTTCTAGGAAAAGTCTAAACGTTGAGTAGTTCTAAAGACTCCTCCATCTGTCATCCTGAAGTAATATCTCAGTTTGATCTTTTTGGTAACTGACAGAGGTGTGAAGTGAGGAAAGATTCCTGAGCCAGTGACTGGTTGATAATACGTTCGGATTACTAGGTGGTCATGCTACCAAGAGCTACTGTTTCTGTAACTCCAGTCCATGTTTTCCAAATTTTGCAGTGTTTCCCTTACCTTCTGATATTTTTTGGAGCCTTGACAGCATCTGAGCCAGTTTCTGTTGTCGTTCGGCCAACTCTCCACGACCACTGAAGTCCACACGGAAAAGTGCCATTATGGAGTCGATGATCTGCATTGTAATTATGCTAGATAAGTAAATATAGTGAAAGGAAATAGGAAAATGTATTCTGAGAGCAGTAAGCATACAAAAAGAAATCAGTCCTGTACCAAGAGCTTGAAGATACCAGCTTCTTCATGGAACTTGGCTGCTACATAGTCAAGCAATTCCATCTGATGTTCACCTGGTGGGAAGTACAGTTGCCAAATGAAATAAGGACCAGAAAGAGCTCTGAAGCAACAAAAGCCTGAATTTTAAAATTCCGCTTTAAACGTCTGCACTGTTTATATTTTCACTGCCAGCAGTTTTAAATCCAGTGGCCAGTAACAAGCTACGTCTACAATAACCAGCAGTGCCTGTGCTTCTGCCGGTTCCCGTTCCCACTTGCCCAGCTAACGAAACTTCCTTGTGAAAAGCTTCACAACAAAAGTATGCACGAAGACAACTTTTTTGTTGTGTTAAGAACTGAAAAGCAATATAAACATTTGAATTTAATGTTGAATTAAATGACACACAGAAATGGTATTAATCATATTATTCATGTTCATATTGTACTCTCAAAGAAAAAGCCCCATTTCAGACCTCCTTGAAGTTTTAACGCAGTGTCTTTTGACAGCGTGTGTCAGAGCTGTCCCCATAAAGTTCCATTCACAAGATCATAGAGAATTTCTCAACAGCATTTATAGAATTAGCTTACGTTCAGGCAATCGTGGTCACGTTAATCGATGCTTCTTTTACTAAGATGCTACACTGACACTCATCATACACATGGCAGAGTTCACTTCATGTTGTGGCAAACAACAGTGGGCAATCTCAGTTAATAAACTGAGAACTATTAAAATGGGAGCCTTAGAGAAAAAACATAGATGTCATGCCAGTTGCAATAATGGCCTTACTAGTATATGCACGTGCGTACAGCACGTTGTCAAGTACTGCGTCGTGGTCAACATTGAAGCGATCAGCGATGTCACGAAGGCGGTCTGGTCGGCTGACATTAGTCAAAGTTAAGGATTTCTCTTTGTATAAACCATGCTCTGAAAATAATAAAACTCCATTCCAAAATAGAACTATGGAAAACCGAAGAAGAATATTTATTTTGATCCTAGAGAAGACTGACTTTTTCTCTTCACACTGTCCCACATACCCTAAAGATAGTTTAGGGCTCACGATGATAATTGTTTTGTGTGTAGGGTTTGAGGCGGGGGGGGGGGTTGACATATGGATATCTGTGCTCTAGGAATTTAGCTGTGAGCAAAACCTATTTATATACAGTCTACCACAGATATGAAGTGTTAAAAATAGTGTTTAGTATTTAGATTAATTTCTCTTGAACTAAATAGAAAATCTTCTATCACCTGTATCAAGAAGGCACATTAGATCTCAAAAAAAAAAAAAAACCCAGTTAAAATAAAGTCTGTATCCTAACTCTAATTTTTCCATGTTGGATTACATCAAATGACAGAGAAAAAATTCACTGCCTTGTGGGCCACTAAACAAACACTGTGCTCTCCAGGCTTTCTGTGTCAGTCATGTTTTACATGTATGACACTATTGGAGCCTGCTTACTTGCTTATAACAAAATGAACTCTCTTTCCAGTTCACCGTACCTGTAGTTTTCAACGGTCCAAAAGATACAAAGTGTTTTCCGTATCAATGAAGATAATCTTTCCACCTGTGTAGCCGTTTGGTCCTGGAAGCTGCGCTGTCACTACAGTGAATCATAGAGGATCAAAATGAAGAAGCGGGAAAAATACTTTCTTACTCCCTCTATTGTTATTTTTTAATAAAATATGACTGCTTATCCATATCACAAAGAACCACCAGTTTTATTCAATGTGGAAATCATGAGTATCTCAAGTCTTACTGCCAGCTTGAGAAGAAAGCCAAGCTACTTTTCTCAATTGGAGATCAGATGAGATTTAATTGATGGTGTCAAAATTGTGTTTTACTCAGTACCATCAGTAAATCTGTATATTTTATATTGAAAACAGGTAAGGATAGTATTATTAACAAGTTCTTATGCACAAAGCATCCTCTTAATCCTCTGTCCAAATTAATGGTATTGATTTAGTAGGGTTTTTTTCCAGCTCTAACTCATACGATCAAAAATTCTTTGTATATGAATATTTCCTGCTATGTGAATAGTCACTGACTGTGGGTTTAGTCTCTTTGGAGTGAATAAGCTAAAATACTCACTTCATTCAGTTGTAATCATTCATGCAAAAGGGTATGACTCTGCTGACCATGAGACTGGACTAAACGGAAGAGGCCTTATTTTTCCAGAAGGTGCCATAATTCCCTTTATAATATAGGGTTCATTTAAGGGAATGTTTGCCTACCCAGAGTCTGGTAACTATATTCTAGCAGCATTAATAGTTGCATTAGTTATTATTTACTACTATTTACACATTGAGAGATACCGCTGGGAAATGAGAGTCCTGCTGTATTTGGCACTGCCCAAATACGGTGACAGCCAAAGTCTTTGTTTATCCAGTTACTGTCAGTCGGCAGTATCCTTTCAGTGCCCTTTCAGAATGTCATATTCAGCAAAACCTCTTGAATCCAGGAAATTAAAAGAGTTGCTGAGAAAGAATCTTGCCTTTGCCCTTTTCTGAGCAAGGCTCCCGTCCGCCTGTAACCCGTATTTGTGCTGTGCTTTTCCAGATGGTGTGTTTCACTGGTTTCTCTCTCCGTATGGCAAAACTTGCACTGATGTGAGCAGTATTAAAAAGTAATCATTTATAAGAGTTCTCTACTCAAAGACAATTAATGGAGGTAAGGGTCACCGAGGTCTGTTTCGCTGTATTTCTAGAGAGAAAAGATTCTGACTTGTCTCTATGTGTTTAATTCTGATATAGTTGTAAAGAATGGAGAAGAAACAGCTGTTTGTTTTAAGGTAGTACACCTACCACAAAGGGTGTGAGATAGCTGGGTTTTGCCTGTCCGGAACTCTGTTAAATAAAGAAAAAGAAAAAACTCTTTTTCTGAGTTTCCCAGATTCAGGAGTTACTGCAGTTAGAAACACTCTCACTTACAAAATTCACCTCTATCTCTACCTTTTAAAATCATTTAACCCCAATTTATAAATCATATTCTGTGCAGTAGAAATGTGTTACATGAAAAGCAAAATCTGAAATGCTTTAATTTGATCATGCTTGACTGCTAAGGTCATTTTCTTTTTTTCTTTTCTGTGTAGGAGTTAAAACCACATGGCACCTGTGGAAAAGTGTTAATTGAAGGGGGGTGGGGTGGGAAGAAATGGTTGATTCCACTGACCTGGCCCAGTTTCATTTTCAGTAAAATGATCAAGGAGAAGCTTATGATTTTATTATTCTCATGATATCAAATCATGTCAGTCTGCAGTTTATCTTTTCTAAAGGGAAGAGTACTGTGGTTTATGAACTCTTATTGTTGTTGAAGTGTTAACCACTACATGATCAAATTTACTATAATAGTAGCTTAATTGTGATTTCAGAATCTTATATGAAATGCAATGTATCCTAAGTGTGCATAAATAAAATATCTTCTGAGGCAGTTTTGTTACTGGAAAGGAAAATACATTGCATCAGGGAAATCTTTCCTATATGACACATTAGTAATAGTACTAATAATGGTATGTTGTACTGAATCAGCATGCCCCAAGTCTAATGATTACTCAGCTTAAACTTAGTCTGTGAGCAAATGAAGAGGAAAAATAGGAAAATGAAGAGGAAAAATAGAGAAGTGAATTCTTTCTTCTTATCCTCATGCAGGTACTCGTCTTTATGACTACAATGTGACAAATTTGATAGAAGTAATCCAGCTTGATTTAAAATCTAAACGAAGTTGCAATTCTTTGTTCAGTAATACTCATTTAATGTGGTTTTCTCACCTCCAAAGGCCTCAGTGATTGCCATGCTTTCAATCCCACCACCCAGAAGTTTACTGGAGAAAGGGAGAGGATTATGATACGGTTAAACTCACAAAATCACAAGCGGAAAGTAAAAAAGAGAAATTTTTGCTATTTTAAGAAAAGTTATTTTTGCCCTAAAGCCCCTCACTTGATGCCTTAAGTGCAGGGCACTAACTGATCGCTGATTCATAAAGAATTAACTCTGTCTCAACTTTTCTTTCTGTGTGCAAGAGAAAGGTCTATAGAAATTATTACTGGAAAGAAAGAAAAGAGAAAATACCTTTGAAAAGATAACATTCCATAAAAATATATCCAGGGAGCTCTTGAAGACTTGTAATTTTGACCTGAGACCTGCAGGTTGTTTTGACTAGGTGAAAAAACGATGATGCATTCAGGATTTCTGGATGCAAACTCTGTTTATTTACGATGGCTGTACAAAGTCCAGTTTCTCCTCAGAAAAGGGGTTGGTTTTGTTGCTCACTGATGCAGGCATCTTTGAGCGAGCACCAGCTCCAGATGCCAGGTAACATACGTGTCCTATCTGAATATTTGTTCCTTTGTATTTTTGTGTCTCATTAAAGGCAATAAATATGATTATTGGAACAATTTGGACTAAGGAATGATTTAAGTAGAGATCAGCTTACTCAAATTCGTGGCTGCCAGTAGTAATATGAAATACCATCTTCCGTTTTTCACTGTACTCAAAGGCAGTCAGGAAGCCTGGTTCCTAAGAAGGACCAAAGAAAAGATGAGAGGTTAATTTTAGCTTTAACCTGAACGTAGAGTGCAATATCCCACATAAATATCTTCTCTCCACCCTACCCTCATTTACACAGGTTGGGTATGAAAAGCACCACAGCGTTTGTCTGGTTGTTGTAGAGTATAAAGTATTATTCCTTTAGAGTAATGAGCAGAATAATTTTCAAAATTATCTTGATGATGTGGTGAAAAAATCTGTTAAGAGAAATGTTGCAGAGCACTTTGGAGAGGCCAGCATAAGTTTAAACCATCAGGAAAGTGATTGACTTACAATAAGCTTGTTTGCGGCTTCTTTAATCTTGTCCACTTTGGCCTCTGAAAGCCCTTTTACATTGCACAGTGCCCGTCTTGTGGTCATCTGGATTCCTTTGATCGTGCAGATCCCAACTGACTTCAGTTTTTTAATATCTGCTACGTTCTGTGAAGAAAGTTCCCTTCTGTGAGTAGTCATGACAGTTAGCAACTAGAAGGCGAAGTAAATCTTTGAAACACATTTTATTATACATTCATATGTATGTGTATTTTCACCAAGAAAGAAATAGATTTACAGTATTCTTTGTTATGACACCAACAACAGAAAATTTTGAGTAATATTGGTGTGAAGGATCACTGTGCAGAGACATCCTGAGGCTTTTGAGAGAAAGGTGTCTCGGGTCAAGTTGTACTTACTTGTCCCTGTTCAGTGCCAGTCTTTCTAGATCCAAGCTGGTAGTACAGAAACAATACGGATTATTTCAGATAGTGTGGAGCCCAGCCTAGTAAATCCTGTAACGCTCAATCCGTCCTTGGTCCCTTAGCACAGATAATCTGTAAACCAGATAATCTGGTCGTGGATAACGGGGAGCTGACTCGCGAGGATCGTTGGAAGCCGACTCTAACTGCTGTGCTGTTTCTGCGTGTTCACAGTATGTCCAGTTTAAAACACGCGTATCCTCCAGATCTGATGAATGCTTTGGGCCGGGATGAACTTACTAGTTTTCCATAAATTGGGCACAGCATAACTTCAGTCAGCGCCCCACTGGCACATTTTGCCTCCTCTCACCTCATTTTATAATTCTGACATCACTGGAAACTTAAAGGCAAGCAACAGATTACTCTGAAGAAAACATACCGTGTGAAAGGTTTGGGATAATACTTCAATTTACCATTTCCAGCCAAGTTTTTTCCTTGGAAAAAAACTATGAACTGGATGTATCGTCTATTCATCTAGAGCGTGTGGGCGCATAGGACATAAGAATGGAGGGGGGCTATGTTAGAAATTAGTTGTGTCCATTGGGAAGCTTATTTCTCATCCTGTGATGTGTTTTTTGATTCTTACATTAATAGAGATGGATAAGGTAAAATTGGTCACGAATAAAAATTACTTTTCCACCCAAAATAATATAATAACCAGCAATATAAAAAGGATTAAGCTGTTTTATTGTGTTTTTCTATTAAGACAACAGAGTGCTGCGGCAAAGATCTTTTTTCTAGACCAAAACTTTAAACGCGTTACCCTGCTTCTGCATTTCTTCAGTGGCTACGTCTTTCTGGTCACACCAACCTTAAGGCTGTCCTGCATGACAAGTCTCTGTGTGGTAGACCTGGTTATAGAAATTCTTGTTCTTGTTCTCTCCCTCACAGATACACCTTTCACCAACAGCTTATGTGCCAGCCAAGGTCCGAGGGTATGCTCCTTCTTAGACTGTAGTTCAATACTATGAAGTGTTCAGCAGTACTCCTGGCTTAACGTACTGACGCGCCTGCCCCCTGACACCGGCTGCTTGTCCTGATCCTCTGCCTTATCTCGCAGCCCTGTGCCAGCTGTATGCCTCTGAGGTGGAAAAGGGAGCAGACCGAGAATTCACGAATAAAAAAAAAAACCTAAACCATGTTTTTTGTTGTGATAATTTTTGGACTAATTGATTCGCAAATCCAGTTCAACAAATGCAGATGTGCGAGAAGAAGGGATAGCATGCCCTGGTGGCAGGAACACTCAGCAAAGGCTGCGGGGGTCACAGCACCTTAATTCCTACCAAACACTTTTGAACATCAAACTACAGCCTAGGTTGTGCTAATCTGACTCTCTTTGTGGCCGCGCTGTCAGACCTAGTAAATATTTCTCTCTCAACTCCTAGGAAAAAAATCCTAAACCCACAAAAACTACTTCTTTAAGTAAATGAATTTAACAGATATGGGTCATCATATGTTCACGCAAAGATTTTAACTGGCACTGAGAACAAAAACTTCCCGTGGGATGTGGGAATAACCACTTGGAAGGGAGCAAAAAAAAAGAAAAGGAAACCCTTATTAAGCCACAAGAACAGCTTAAGTCATTATTCTTTATTTTCAAGATCTTTCATACCTTAGTATCATTCTCTGCATACCATGCCTCATTTAATATTGACAGGCTACTACAGCTCCTGTCCAGCTCATGAGGTCAGCCTCTTTGGTCAACTTGTTACATTTTTCACACAAGAATTTGTGTATTTTTTCTGTGTTGCCCCACAGTTAGAGCTCCCAACCTCATGATCCTTCTTCAGAACTCTCTTTAAAACTGTCAATGAATTGCCAATAGAAAAAGTTGACAACAATTATGCTGCTGACATGCTGAGCCCAGTAACAACAGTGCTGTCTAATGCCGTCTCATTGTGTCTGTAGTCATTTATATTAGAGTTAAATCTCACATTACTTTGGGCAAACACAACTTCTTATTCTGCTTCTATAACACTAAATGTAATAGGACTCCGATCTATGAGCCAGTCTCCTGGATAAACATGTAATAATAGTAATTCAAATAAATTGGTGATGTTTATGTGATAATGATGATGATGATAATGATTATAGGAATTCATATTTGATGAAGAAAACTAACCACTTACTTATTTCTCTAGCTACTAATATTTTCTTCACTCCTACTCTACCCCCTTCACCAGTGTGCTGAAAATAGTATAGCAACAATTGTCACAGTGTAATTTCACAGGCACCAAAAACGCAGGAGTAATTACAAAGATTGGCAGGAACAGGAAGTAATCTATCACACAGTTTTCAAATAAATTAGCAAGTAGTTGGTTTTTCAAGAGTGCTGGGTGCTAAATACTTTGAATATCTTGTCACTGTATTTAGGAATCTGATGGGAATGAGACTTTTCTGAAAACCAAAGGCAAAATTTGTCTTCACATGACTGATTTAAAATGTATTGCAAGGAGGAACTTCAGTTATTTGTATCAACGTGTATACGCTTTTGGCGAAATGACCTTACAGTAGCTTTATGTGGGCAATTCTGTGTGATAAAGTCATTGCTAATACTTACAATTCCATGCTTCTGTAGCAGGTCAATATCCTGAAAAAAGGATTCCTAAAAAAAAAAAAGGCAGAAAAAAAAAATATTTCACTTTTTCTTGTAATTACATCTATCTCACTATGTGTCTGTTTCAAATTTGTAAACATTTAAATTATTTTCCCTAGTAATACATAAATTGTTGGACTGCCCAAATAAGCAAAGCCATAGCGAGCCAAGAAGGCCTACACATTTCCTATCATCTTCTTCATAAAGTGTATCTTCACAGGCAAGCAAGCCTCTGCTGTGCTAATAAAACTTCTGTTATGATCATCGTCATCTTGATTTTTTCCGCCACAGTTCCTCAGCCTTTTCAGGCTGACGACCATTCCTTGGAAGCATAAAATTAACTGATAGTCCCCTTGCTTTTAATATAGAAGTGTAAAATATAAAGAAATAATTATAATCTCATTAAAAACTCTGCATAGCTTTTGAAAGGTTAACGACAAGCACCAGAAGAGCAAGGCTGTACAGGGACTAGGAGAGTGAAATTTTCTTGGTATTAGACTGGAACAAAATTTTAAATGCGTTGAACTCCCTGATGGTCTTTGGGGACCTTCTGTCTCTCCATGGATTTCATAACACTATCAAAATACCTTCAAACAACATGTGCTGCACATATTTTTTAATGAACCATAAATTTACCTCATCATCCTGGTATCCTGGTTCTTCTTGGACTACTTGATCCTCCATGGCCTTCATCGTGAAAGAGCGGGCAATAAAGTATTGATCACTACTGCGAAATGCAAATAAAGATAGTATTGGCGTGGCAATAAATGAGTAAATGACTGTAAAAGGACTTTTAAGAAGTCCTTGAACTACTGAGAACCTTCTCAGTCTGCCATCAGATATAGATTTAAACTCAGATTTTGCTTCCAACTCTTTGTTACCTGACCTACCAGACCAAAAAGAGAAAATCTGCTGCATTACCCTCAGATTAACCAGTTTGTCTAGAAAGGGTTTAACAGGTATTAGGAAAAGAGATCTCATTCCCTTGTCTCATTCTGGGGTCAGAGTATGAGTTTGGAGGTGGGAACATTTTAAATGGCTTAACATTAGCAGAATTTATTCTGGTAAGAAAGTTAAAGACAGTTTGTATTTTTATAACAAAAGTCAGCAGAGTTGCAGACAGAATGGGTAGCGGAAAGGCCATGCAACACCGCAGCTTCCCCATCTTTATGTGACAGGAAGCTCACAAAACTATTGAGAAGGCTACAACTCCTCAGTCATATATCTTGAGAGTAGACTATAAAGCTGTATTTGTTTTCAAGTTCTTGATGGAGTTCGGAATACCTAATAAACGCTGAAGATCTGCACGTAATGCCTGTAAGAAGTATGCTTGCATGAAGAGAATAAAGAAAGGGTAATAAAAAATCTGAGCCTTTTATTATGCACAAGTATACACAGAGAGCTTATTTCATGGGTTTTCATGGTTAGCTTGCCATGCTTGTTCTCCACTACAGCTTCACTGCCCTCTTTATGTGGCTTCCTATAAGCAAGGCCTAAAGCCAGAGTAGGCACTTATCGATAGTATGGTCAAATAAAAAGCAAAATATTATCTCCTTAAATTCTATGAATGCAAGAAAAATGAATATGAAGTAGTTCCTTAGAAATATGATCTTATAACCTGCTGTATCAGTTCTGTGATTTTGTAAATGGATAGGTTGCTTCTGTCTTAATTGTGAGCTTGCCTTCACTGTTTGAGCTATGGCTGATCAAAAGTTTTGTAAACTACCTCATCCAGATGTGTATATATGTATGTTTGCTTGCTCATCCTTGTGAAAAAAATCCATGAAAGGTAAGAGGTTTATTATGAAACTACAAGATGGGCTATGTCTAACAGAGGATGGGATAATTTAGACTAAATATCTGCAAATAGCTTTTTTCAGCTTCTGGATGGATGCTCAAGGTCTGCCTAATTTGCTTGCAAGAATCTTGTGTATACAGAGGATGGGAGAAGTGAGAAAGAAAATATTATAATTTTAGAATGACGTTATTTGGTTTTGGAGTGAAAATATGATGGAGTCACTTCTGTTAGTATTTAATGGAAATATTCCTATAAAATCAGTTGTTTCTGATAGTGTTAGGATATATTTCATTTCTATTTCAGAACCCTGACAATTATGGAATGAGAAATCATGCCTTCACATCATGCTTTATATCAATCAGAAAAGCAATTACAATAAAACATTAATTAAAAATACTTGAAGAGATTTTAAAAACCCCTTAGCTTCAAATACTGAAGAAAGAAAAACAAGTAATGCAAAAGGCATTACAATTGTACTACAATCCCCTTCTCCATTAAAAATATCCTCCTGAAATGCACATAATCCTGCACTCCAAGCACAGCTGAACAGGTCATGAGATTGTTCTCCTACTCCCCATCCTCAGGCAATTGGCATCTCACAGCAGAAAAACAGGGCAGACCCAGACCTGTGCCTTCCTGCGGGCTACGAGGGAAAATGGAGAAATTATGCCACACCCTGCTAAAAGCTTTAGGGATGAACAAAATCCTCCCGTTTAGTGGAGAGTCCTCCTGTTGCTGCTGCGTTGGCGCACCGATGACCCAGAGATTTCAGCTACCGCTGCCTGCAATGAACCAGATAAAAGGGTGAAAGTCTGAGACAACACAGCAAACTGATGAAGAAACGAGGATATTTGTGAGGAAGCGCAAACGCTTTTGTGCCAGTTCGGGTGCCCCGACCCTGCTGTTGCTGCCCCGGGAGCTGCTCATTAGGATACGCGGGCAAGACCTGCGTGCTGCACCCTTTTCAGCAGATGGGGAGTGTTGGTGTGATGGGGACCTGGCCCCAGCGCACAGCGTTGGGTTTAAGGAGCTGCTTTTGAACGGACGGCATCCTCGCAGCTGACTTGACTGGAGCGGAGTTTGGGCCCCTGCGCTGGGGGCAGGAGGCGATGTGACCTGCCCCCAGGGCCGCCCGGGTGGAATTTCACATCTATTGACTCAGAGGAAAATAAATGATTAATCGTATATCAACACACGGATTTATTTGGCTTTTCCTTGCCAGCTGCCCTTTCAGGGGATGTAAATTTCTGTTCCCAAAGGCTGAGGCACCGCAGAATTTCCCTCCCCCGCGGAGCACCAAAATTCCCCGTCAAAATCACAGCAATAATCAGAACACAGCTCATCCCCGGGCACCTCCGGGAGCACGGGGCTGCGAGCGGTTACAGCACCCCAGCGCGCCGGCCCCCGAACTCCCCAAACCGGCCCCGGCTCAGCGCCGGCCCCCGCCTGAGGGCAGGGACCCCCCGCTTTTCCCGCCGCACGGGGCGGGGGCGGCGCTCCCGCCAAAACGGGGCGGCCGTTAGCTGCCTGCCCGCGCGTGCCTGAAAGGCCCTGCCCCCTTCCTTACCCCCTCCCCCCCCCCGCGCTGAAATACAGTTGAATTATTGTCTGCAATTACTTTATCTTCTAAAATTTATCAACTGCTATATTTGCCATCTCTAAGGAATACTGTATTATGCTTGTTTTACAGCTGGCAAAGACAGGCTTCATTAAAAACATGGCTTGGAGGGCGTTCAGTTCAACACAGCTCAGCTTTGTTTTATCAGGGTGCCACGCTCACGTCTCCCTAAACAAGGCACACGGCATTTTTGGATTGGATGGCCAGAAACCTGTCAGAGAGCATCTGTTCCCAAAAGCTGGAAGAGAAGTGACTTGCCTGAAGTCACAGGACAAGAAAATGAGGCTGAGTCATACACATGACTTCATCTGCCATTTTAAAAGGATGCAAAAGGTGCTTTTTAGGATATGAACACTTCTACAAGTCTGCAGTCTGCTTGGAGACAGTATTTGGAAAGCAATCGCCCGTTTTTAGCTCGCCTCGGGTGGCACAGTCGGTACGGGGCTGCATTGAAGGAGACGTGGGTGTGCTCCTGTGAGCAGGAGGAGCTGCTGGCTGCCCCGCGGGGTTGCTGCCCTGGTGGGTGCGGGGTTTCAGGTGGCAGAGGGGACAGGAGCAGCATCTCAGCCTGTTTCAAGGTGCTTGTGAAAGCTTCCCCACCCTCCAGCCATGGGAGGTTAAGAGTGCAGGCGGGTGTCGTCAGTGCTAGCCAAGTCGGGAAACCAACCAACAAAACCCACAGCCCCTCACCATCATCAGCACACTGCGGGAGTGCTCGCAGGGTCCCCGTTCGAGACACCAAGCGATTTATTTAAGTACTTAAAGTCTAACTCTGGGTGCCCAAGGCTTTGTCTACACAGAGGAAACTGGCTGGCACTGCTTTTGAAAACTGCATTATTCCGCAAGAGCTATTCCAGAAGAGCACTTAGGCAGACAGTCCTTTAAAGACTTCACCAAGTATGCTTTTATTCCAGAACAGAACGCACACGCAGAGAGTGATCCTTCTGGTGCTGCTGAACAGCTCTGCAGCAGCTAATGCCTCTGTAAACAACCTTCCCTCCATTATCCTTCTAGTTCATAAAATTGTTCTCCGAGGCATCAGTGAATGCACAGAATCTGAAGATCACTTCCCACCCAGAAGTGTTACTTTGGGCAATAAAATACATTCTACATCTTCAAAATGTTGTGTGATCATTAACTGCGCATTTGGCTTCCAGCTGGCGTTGTGCAATAACCCCACATACCCCATCACATCACACACCAGCCAGGTGAGTCGAGACGTCCCGGAGTTTGCTCCTTCCCTCTTCCAGGCTTTGCTGCCGAGCAGCGCATCTCCAGCTGCAGGTCAGGCACTGGCAGTAAGATGCACCATTGCAATGTGCGTTTCTTCTCACTTGAGATCTTACCCCAATTCGAACAAGACAAGAGCCAAGTCAAACCACTGCCATAAAAATACTAAGTATCCAGCTGATTTTCTCATCTATTTTAATCCGTGGTTGCAGTAGGGAAATCACGTGGGGTTTTTTTTGGTTGGTTGATTTTGGTTTTGATTCAGATTTACGTGGATGAAATGGACTAGAGTCAAATAGAAAAGCTAATGCCTTCTCTGAACTTCCAAGTTGGCAGTTTGCCTGTTCTTAACCAGGACAGAATAATCTCATATTTGGCCTTCCAGAATCTAACCCATGAAGATTCAGCCTGGGGTAGGAGTGTACATTGTTTTGGAAGACCTGGGCCTTCTGCTTTCCTTGGGAATGCATTTCACTTACCGTTGGTCCCAGACTAAAACTGTGACACACCTGAAATCTTCCCCGAATTGCAGAATGCTTCTGGGCAAAGGTGCAGCAATTTCTTCATACTCTTCAGCTCTCCCTTCTCTAGCAGCAATTGCTTGTTTTTTTTTTTTCCCTGTAAAGTTGAAAATACATGTTGGGGGGGAGAGGGGAAGAGAGAGAGAGAGAAAGAATACTGAATATTTCAAAGGCAATCCAAGTATTAACAAGGTAAAAACTTCCTTCTGTCTCCTACAGCAAAGGAATATACAGAGCGAGAGTTCAGCACCACTTTGGAAGTTATGTTAGCTATTACATCCCCAAAATTACCCAAATCCACAAGTCATGATAGCCTTGCATGGCATCTCGCTGTAGCTACTCCCTTAGTCACATCAGAATTAATGATCGCCGCTTCCAAAACAAAATCTGACAAAAAACTTTCTGCGAGGCAGCGCCAGGCAAACAGACTCCACCTCGGTCAGCCTCAGGGAAAGGCCATGCTGCTTTAACGTGCCCCGTGGAATTCGTACGAACTAACTGCACACATCACAGCTCGCTCCTCTTT